CTACCGCGTCTTATTTTGCCGCGCGGCAGCGTTTCCGCGTCCAATGTGTAGGAGCTATTGCTTAAAACTCGGGAAAAACTTGAGTTGGAAAACCAATCAAGGGGAAACCAAAAGAAGAAGAAAAAGAAAACTCAGGATGGTCCCCAGCTCAACTCAGAGGTTCTCAATGGTTCTCAAGTTTTTCTCTGGTCGTCTCTGGTGATTCTGGTGCCGGTCATCGTTGTTGCACGGGTCGAGAACCGCGAATTCGTCGATGAGCTTACTTGGCCATTTAGGTCAACAAAACCGCGCAAGAACCGCATTTCTGTTTTGAGCCGGTCAATTTTCTCGGTGGAAATATGTGGCTAGAGGAGTGCGACAGTTTTGCTGAACTATGCCGGGGATATTTGCCATACTATCTTTTAATAGTTTTGCCGATCTTTATCATCATCTCTCCGGTGAACCCGGTGACCGCCTCCCATGAGTTTCCTGTGTTTCGTATGCATCAGTATGATCTGCACGGAATTCCACACGGTAAGATATCAGGTTTATCAGTGATAATTTATTCAAAGATCGACATCTCGATTCTCAAAGAAACGCACTTGTGATAATGCTCATTAGGTTGCCGAAGTGCGCCCATTTCCTTGGAGGCGAGGTCTCTAGCTGGCTGGAGTACCTCTAGACACTGCGTCGTTGCGAAAATACTGGATATTACACCGTTCGTCTTTCAGTCCATTAGAAGTAAGGCTGGTGCGTTGGTGATTGTTTTACCCAAGAAAATAAGTGAACTTACGACGGAGGAAAAGCAAGTTAGTAATAGGATTAACACTTTACTGTATTCTAAAAAATATTTATTTTAAAATAAGGATGTAAACAGGCTAAAGACTTGTTTTTTTTTTTTTGAAAATAGTTCTAAAGTCTGTTCTTTTTAGTTAAACTTCTTTTACAGTTCATTTTTTCTCTTTTTCTTTCTAATGTGAAATTACAAAAAGGTTACCTAAAAAGAACATGCTTATAGTATATATGTACTGGTGCAATAAGGTGGAGTAAAATAAATATAATCTATTTCATTTTTTTCACTTGGACCAGTGTATACATCAAAGGTTCAAAACTTTGAAAAAAAAAACAGCCCTTATAAATTTTTGTTTATTACAAGTTAGAGTAAATTAATGGTATATTAATTTTAGCACATTATGAGTCTAGAAGAGTCAATGATGTATGGTTCTGAGACAATGATACCAGTGTACTTTGCACCATGGCATCCAGAACTTCAAATAATTTTAGACGATATTGCGGGTGGTTTTATCACGGATGAAAAGACTGGTTCGGCAGCAGAAGCTATATATAATTCAATTTCAGCTAGTGGTTACCAAGTGGTAGTAACCACTGGGCAGGCACTTCCTAAAACAGATGTTAAAGTTGCCACATTGCATGGTAAATTAACTGGAACTGGTACCGAAGAGAAATTACCTACCATAGCAATAGTGACATATTACGATAGTACTGGTGTGGCACCTGTAAGTCTCACTATTTCTTATATCATTTATGATATTTATAAGGTTTGATATATATGCTTATGTATATGGTGCTGTTGTAGGAATTGTCATTCGGTGCGGACAGTAATGCTTCCGGTATAGCTATGCTACTAGAAATAGCGAGGCTGTTCTCTGCTTTATACTCCACTGGTCGGACAAGACCACAATATAATCTCGTTTTTATCACAACTGGAGCTGGTAAATTAAATTATCAAGGTAGTAAGAAATGGTTGGAAGATCAATTAGATGGGGTTGAAGGTTCTATTATACAGGTAATACAATCATAATACTAATATTTATGAATAATTTTTTCATTTATTTTTATTAATATTATAATTATAAATTAACAAATATATAAAATGAGGCTCGAAAGAATCTATCAATAAAATATAATAAAAAAGCCCATCAGAGCCTACATCAGCTGTTCGGATGCACAGAAAAACTTTATTTTCGTGTGAATATAACAAAATCAAAATATACGTTTCAACCCTTCAGTTTGGGTCCTTATCTCAATATAACATATAAATCTAGATTACTTATTTAACGCAAATTCCAACCAGGTGACGTAATATACTTGACTCCATTTTTATCTAATTTGGTATTTGAATAAAGAAGAATGAACTAAATTGTCGGGAATCACCTGGTTGGAATTTGCGTTAAATAAGTAATCTAGATTTATATGTTATATTGATAAGGACTCAAACCGAAGGATTGAAACGTATATTTTGATTTTAAAAAATGACAATAAAAGGCAAATGAGAGTAAAGCGCGGTAATTGGTGCGCAATAATCAATTATAAAACAATATGTGGTAATATCTTACATAGATGTATTTGAAAAAAAAACCTATGTTAACATTCGAACGTTTCGGTCAACATTTAGGGCCATCCTCAGCGCAATATA